GTTTCTTGTGCGTTGGGAATCTGCAGCGCAGCTTTTCAGAGGGACCTCGCCTATGACTCCATTCTCATAGAAAAACTACACTTACCCACACCACTAGATTTTTTGAGGTGGATAGTGGACATCTTGCACTGCTTAGGGTCATGAGGTGCTAGGGAGCAGGGTTTCCTCCACCCACAGTAATACTACTAGCACAACAATCACACCCACGCACGTCCAACATTTGTTGACACTGCCACAGAGGCTGGATCCTGCAGGTGTATTTGAGTGCAAAACGCAACAAGGTCACGGCTTACAGTTCTGAGGACTGCCCAAACATTCCTCTATGAGCTATGGTTGGCTAATACTTCAAGAGAAAGTGCATGACCTTGGTGCGACTCTGCCCTGTGCTTGACGCAGGAAGCAACAACATGCCGCCCGTCTGACTGGCATGGAAAACACTGAAAACTCCACAACGTTCTCTACATACAGCACGGCCCCATCAAAATATGGACGATCCGAAAATTGACATGTTGCCAGTACATGAGAGCGGAGGCTTGAAGGTGCTGTGAAGCCCTATACTGCGGGGTTGAAATCGATTTTAAGCTGGTCTGTGGCCCTGTTCTGTAGGGGTTGAGACGGATTTTAACCTAAGGACCTAGCTTTGGCATGCACATGAGACAGACTTGAAATTGAATTCAAGCTGCGGGATGATCAGCGTCAGCTCAAACCTTGCGTCATACAGGATTCGAAGTGTCCAACATAGGCCGGCCAGCTCAATCGGGCAAATTTACTATGGCCGCAGAAAAATGATGAGGATGAGGGGTTTAGTGTGTAATGTTTAGGTTGTCGGGTTCGGTGTGTAGGGGTTTTGGTTTGGCGTAGCTGTACCTAGCTTGATGCCTAACGTAGTTGCCATAAATGCAAGTAGGGCCTCAAGATAGCAACCCCCCCCCCCAACATCCAATAAGCCCCAGCATCACAAGGGCTCCGAAACAGGCAGGGGCCCTTGAGAGTTGGAATGCTAACGGGAAGCAGCTGCCTTGAGCCCAATGTGAATGTTATCCCAAACGCTATGTTGAAGATGGCGCCCCAATAAGGGGTCCAACTATTTCTCCAAACAACGACGTTGCTGAAACTCAATCCCCAAACCCCACTTTCCCACCCAAGCAAGGATGTTTTAGCTTCATCCTTTGCCATGAACCACAGACCGAGAAGGCCCTGATGGTTCAAACCCTCAGCCCAAGCCGTCAAGCTTGGCTAGATTTTCCTGCTTATCCATCTCTGGTGGTAACCGAACGCTTGTTTTAGGAGGACCCCCACCCTGTAGTAGTGGTATAGTAGGAATATGAAAGGACCTGAGCATAATCAACATCATCCCTTATAGTCACTATTACTGGGTTGGGGTCCACCTAAGGCTTACTATCAGACCATGGCATGGCAAAGGTGCAGCGTACTTTCCCTAAACCGTAGATCCCACCCCCCAAGATGTCCCCAAGGCGCCCTTGAGTTGCCAAGCACTGTAAGCTCTACACCCTAAACCCTACACCTACACTGGGTTGTGGTTCAGGAACATGAATTAAGTTACCATCAAAATGGGTATACAACAGATAAAAGGGTTTCCTTATTGGAGTAGCTTACTGTAATTTGCGTTCCTTGGCGGCAAACTAAACCCTGAACTACAAGCCTACCCTACTATAGTATATTGTAGTAGTTTCCATTTTCTTTTCCATTATCCTAATATATCCCAAATATACTATAGTAGTTTCCATTTTCTTTTCCATTATCCCAAGATTACCCCAATATACTATAGTAGTTTCCATTTTCTTTTCCATTATCCCAAGATTACCCCAATATACTATAGT